CCAAACAAAAGGTTTCATTATTCCTCTTATAACGTTATTTCTAGATCACTATCGCCATATACTGCGGATGTGCCCCGATTCTTTTATTTCTCGTTCCGCTAAAATAATGCCATCAAGCTACTTGAGGCGCGCGACACACGTGCACCATGTTTTCACTCATCCTACCAGGAAATCAATCAATTAAGGTGCCAGCTTCGCGCCTCGATCACGTTGAATCAGGACCGCTGACGCAAAGGCGCGATCCGATATGAAACCGAAGCCTAAAACCGCGTTTATAATGTTTTTTTTTTTGTTTTTTCTTTGAGGATGCAAAATGTTTTAACTGCCGTGTCTCTCATAAATGAGTTAATTTGGTGATTACCGATACTCTGCAGGTTTCTAGTTGGAACCGTCCGAAGTAGCGCGCGAGAGAAGTGTCCAACTTAGCACAATCTTCGCTTATCCCAGGGGCATAACTTCGGCCCAATGCGGCTTCGCTCCAAAGTGCTAGTTAGTACCAAAGTACTTTTCTTTGTCGTTTTTATGGCTTGTCTTTGGCTCTCTAGATTATTGAAGAAATGACAGACTTTAGCCAAATACGTCACGTATTAACCAAAGAACCAGCTGTAAAACGTCTGGCATATTTTAGGAAATTTAAGCCCAAAGTTGCCACATGACAACCGAACCGACAGGAAGAAAGGCCAACCATGGCTCATGTTTGGTGATATAGACCTCAAGATGACAAATGACAGGTAGCTATCAGCAGGGAAGTATTTTGTCCTTTGTTTGACCACAACCTGCTGATATATAACACGAAAAAGATTAAATGTATAATATTTCCACCTATCAATAAAACATACAAAACGCCTGTAGCTATTATTATAAACGTGTTTTCAATCAGTGCTTATTATTTTTACAAAATGCATTCACAAAATCTTAAATCTAAATCTTCCTGTGTTAATTGCACAATGAAAAATAAATATGGATGACAAATGCAGAAATACTTTACCCTCAATTGTCGGTAGCAAAATAATACATCTATAGAAATGATAAACTGTTATTTGTATAATTAGAAGTTGCGATATATTTCGTTACGAAATTAACAGAATCATATTGCGTATTAGTGTTGGGAACAACAACAGGGGGGAACTACAATAAAATAATTGTCCTTCAAAATAATCAGCCGCTTTTTAGAAAATATTTATGAACAGCCGCGTGTCTTAGAACAAATCACTAGTTCTAAAAATAGAATCCACCAAAATATATTCTTTACACTCTTTCACCTAATTCATAAAGAAAAATCATTCCTTACTCAAAACGTTGTAGTACAAAGCAGGCATGGATAAAATTTACTTGGAATGTGCCTATAGTCAGATCTCATTACGGAAAGCAATAAATTACTTACGGTGTTACTAATTTGTTAAATAAAATTGAAGAACAAATAAACTTTCATTGTTGATTTTGCGATTTCAAAAAAAGCATCCATGAACTCCTAGTGGCAATGTATGTCGTTTGTTAGTAAAAATATATAAGTGTAAAAAACCGTTTTCTTTTCTTGAAATGAACCAAGTGATCATAATTTCTTGTTTCTATTTACGGACTGACTGGAGGCTGATTGCAGGCTGACTTACGCCAGGAAATGTGCAAAGGGCCAGAGGCCTCGCCAGGTTCTGGAGCCTTTTCCCTCTGCATTCCAATCGTGTGTTCTTTGAAAAAACGACCAATAAAACTCAGGCAAAGACACCCTGACTATGGCCAAAAAAGATGTCTACCGTGTCTTCGCCCGGCTTTTTAAGGCCCTCAATTTCCAGACAGAAAACAAACGTTGTGGTACGAAGAAGTGTGCGACCTGGGGTACGTTGATCTTCAATAAGGAGAGTGTTGATTTGTAAGGTTTAATTAAAACCTTATGTTAATTTTAATAATTGAAACGTTAAGTTGTGCATGTTAATCATTAAGCTAACTCTAGAGTAATGTGGATAATATTGCATGCAGTCCTACTTTAAATTAGTCAAGGGGCAGTTTTAACAAGTCGTTTCCAGACGAACGGTTTGATCTCGAACGCATCGGCGGCGTCCTCTGCGCACGAGCGCGCGAGTCGTTGGAGGCTTCGGGAGGCTCTTCTCCTTCGTTTCGCCCACTCCTGCCGCTGGAGTATCCCCGCAACGCAGCCAGCGCCGCTTCCGACTCAGGCAAAAAAACACAAAAAAAAACACGGGAGTTTGGTTAGCAATTTTCTCCGCCAACCCGCTCTCGTTATGCACTGTTTCATACTTAGCGTGCAATGCTGTCAAAGCTACTGTGCGAGCGTGGGTCTTGGTCTCGTTGATCATTTGCACGAGTTCTCGCGCAAACAACACAATAGATAAAGCCACGCGCTCGCGCCAGTAGCTTTGACAGAGTTGCACGCTAAGTATGAAACAGAGTTTAGTCTTAGGGCAGTGGGAGGCGATTTGGGCGATCCTGTAACTCCGCTTCATTTGAGAGGTTGAACCAAAATCATTTCAATGCCTGCTCACAATGGTAAACGATTGTGAATGCTGTAAACTACGCATGCTAGTGAATTCCTGCCATCTGCGGGCTGACTAGCTGCAGTGGCGACTGCGAGCAGAGGAAAATGATTTGGTTCGACGGCCCCCAACGATAACGATCTCGCTCAAGTTCAAGGTGACAGAGACACACCACCTACCTTTGCGATCGTGGACACTCTTTTTTACTCTATCTAGATTCGCATATCTCAAAATTCCAACCGGCAATTGTTACGTCCGCCGTCTTGTTTACATGACTCACACACCGGCAACACGAGGCGCCACGGCTGTGCACGATGCAGAATGTTCCACATATTTACTAGAAGATGGCGCTGCCGGTCAAACGCAATCATCATCATCGTTTACACGGTTGCGCCACGTTTGCGATGCGCTATAATATGTTAAATTTCACGTACGGTTTCACGGAACGGACCAGCTTCACGTTCATGATTTCGGAACCGTGTGCTGCAAAAAGGACTCGCTAAAACTCCCTAATAATATTGCAAGGACAGTCAGGTTCTCCGTGTACTTTAAAGAAATAAATTCTAAAGGGGCAACCTAAAAAAAGATAGGTAGACTGTGGGCTTGGATCACCAGAGAAAATGTTACAAACACTTATTGCTTTATACAGAGCGAACTTCCTATCTTAAACAACTCTGAGAATACGAAAAACAATTGCGTTATTTTGTAAGTTCATGCACTGATTAATAATATTTAACCATTAATAAGGTCACCTTCGCACAATTTGTTTTTATTTGACAAATTTAGGTAAATAGACTGAATTGATGATTATTGCCTAAATGTAATGATAAATTCAGAGTAGATATAACAGGACAATTGCTCAAAATGGTACATTTTTAAGCAGGCATAAAGAAAGAGTAGGCTTTAACGAAGCAACGTCTATCGATTTTTGTATCTGTTTTATATACATTCATATTCTATGCGCTGATGAAGGAAGCGAGGAGACTATCAAAATAATTACTCGCATTTTGTGCTGACGTAAAGCGCGATCCAAACCAACGCTTCTTTTTGCGCCTGTAGGTCGTGCGGCTGCGGATGTGACGTATTTTCGTGATGTCGCGCCACTTCTTCGCTCCTTCCGGGCGCGCACAAAAAAGTTGGATAATTCCAACTTCTTTCTCAACGCCCACAAAAATGCGCGGTAACGTATAGGCGCTCCTGTGTCCCGGCCAATCGGTGGAGGGCAAACTAGTTCCGGCTCCGCGTTTCTTCGCCGCCTTCTCAGAGCAAGTGACAAAAGCGCCCGGTGCGCATCCACAATTGGCCCTCTCCTCCCCCCACTTTTATTCTCTTCCAACATAACAACGCGATCTCTCTCTCTCTCTCGCCGCCTTCTGGCTGCGGCCAGTCTGTTGCGCGCGTGCGCGCTCGCCCGAAGCCGGCCCGTCCAAACCAAAGCGCACGGTTCTGACTCAGAAAGCGCGCCCGGAAACAAGAAAAACATAAGGAAATGCGTCACATCCGCAGCCGCACGACCTACAGGCGCAAAAGAAGCGTTGCTTTGGATCGCGCTTAAGGGTTTAGCGAATAGTTCCGCTAAACTCTAAAAATTGTGATATATGTTATTCACATACACTAATATATCTGACTGAACCCACCACATTTACGTAGCTTATTCCTCGTTCCCGTTACTGCAGAATGTGGCAACTTCGAAAGCGGAAGATACCCTTTTTACGAAAAAAATGTTCTTTTCTTGGAAGCTAAGAATCGAGTTTAGCTTAGCTTTTGCACGTAACTTAAACCTCGTTCCCGTTACTGTAGGAAGTGGCTAATTGGAAAACGGAAGATAGCGCTTTTTACGAAGAAATGTTCTTTTGTTGGGAGCTAAGTGGGGAGCTTAGCTTAGCTTTTCTACCAACTAATAAATCAAATAAGAGTCTACTTGGCGATGATAGCATTAAATATATTTTTGCAGTCTATTGAAATGCGTTTACCAGCGCGGTTTTTGATATAGGATATGTCTCCTTTTTTAGTAGACTCTAGCCAACTCTATCAATGTATATAAAATTTTGATTATTTTTTCAAGCGAACTATATCTGGAATTGTTTCAGCCCGCTCTGTGATAAATTGAAATCAAATTAAAATACTCAACCGTCATAGCAACCTTTGTGGATCTCACTTAGTCACTCACCCCATACATCATATATCGATTACGAGTATGATGAAAAATACCAAAATATACTGATCACGCGGAAATTTCATAGCGTCAAGCTTTACATAATGCACCCTTAATGAATCTACCAAAACAATTCTGAGTAACCTATTTTAAAAAATCTTCATCGGCCAATATTTTAGCAGAGTACACTTCGTTTCTCACATTCTGAGGAAAAAAACCGTGCAAACCACTCAATATTGATAACATACGGTATACGTATGGTTCTCAAACGTCATTATCGAGACGAACAAAAGAGAAGAAGGCAACCGCCTGCAAAGCGAACGCAGCGAGGCTATCGCAACACGTGCCCGCGTCTCAATGTCATCTCAACTGGGCAACGCAGTAGGAATCCCCAAGCGGAAAAACCGGCGGGAGAGGCTGCCAGACACGGCGACTTCCGTCCACAATCTCCTTTGCGTGCCTATAAATGTTTGCGCCTCTGCAGAGAGAATAGTGTCTGAACATTCGTAAAACGCTCACGATGGCTTCAAAGATCGTATTGAGCGGCTTGCTGGTTCTCTCTGGTGAGCGGAGGCTTCTTGGTTTGAACATTTGTTTTCTCTCAAATCCTGCATGCAACCTTTTTTGCTTTCCTTTCCCGTCAAAGTTGCGTGTTCTCTACCCGGCTTATTAGTTATTACGGCAGCAACCATTATTGGCGACTTTTCCCGGGTATTTTGTGTATGGTTTAGGATACGGGGTCGTGGCCCCTTCAATTTAGCGAAAAACGATTGAAACTAAATTTAGCGGGAAGTCTCAGTGTCAGGCAACACTGTGACGTCGTGTGGTACTTTGTTCTAAAGAGAAAGTGTTCTTCCCAAAATATAACGGGTGCATTTATGGGGCACAGGATGTTATCTGGCACTGTGACATCACGTGGCATTCGGATGTCTCGCAAGCTCACAGTAACGTCACAGTATCATGTTACAGTCACAAGTTTGCCCCTTTGTTGGATTTTGAATTGTGGTAGGGAAGGACAGTCGAAGCGGAGTTTGCAGGGTCCCGGCGGTCACCCGAATTTTTTTGCGGGATACGGCGAGGATCCCGCAAACTGTTATAATGTATAATATAGCTCTATTTAGAGTAATGTGAATCCCTGATTGCCGAGCAATAACCCTTCAGTGCTCTATAACAAGAGTGCAAAGTCAAAGCCCGTTATTAACACGCGTGTATATGGAAATTATATAAACGACTTGTACATTTATGCATACCTAATAACGTTATGCCAGATTGTCTAATTCCTTGTTATAAATTTTAACATTGTATCACACATTGATTATAAATCATATCTCTAAAATATAAAAAAAACACGATTATGCCACATTTTAATGCAATGCGGTTCCTTAAAAAGGCACATACAAGGCGAATCTGGTTCTCTGGATGCTTTTCTTGAGCACCTTACACCCTGTAATGAGGGCTGCAGAATGAATTTTGATATTTTATTTTATTTTATTGGCAGGAACACCTTCACCTTTTTAAAACGAAAACCCAAACAGACATTTAATATATATATCCCAGGTAGCCATATATTTAACTTCCCAGATAGCCCTCGTGAGACCCGCGTTTTGACACACTCGACTTTGAAGAGCTTTAGTGTCTTCCAGAAGGATGATGGTTTCTGTGCTCCCTGAGCTACTTTCTTGTTATTAATGTATGATTTCTTCTTTTCAGCGTTGTGTCTTATTGAGGCTCAACAGGTAAGTTAGGCTCTTCTTATTTATGCTTTTGACACTTTGGATTTACACTCTGCTAATGCACTAAGATTAGGCACTGATATACATCTTGCAATGTTCTTAGCTTAATCTGTTCTTTTTTAAATAGGGTTTTATTAACCAAATTCTCTCTTCACAAGGCATTTATCAGAGTTGGTGTAGATTATGGGAGAATATACCCGTTACATGAAGTGGTATATTAACTAGAATCTGCTATTTAACTTGCATTATTGCTTGTTGGGGTAATGTTGAAATCGTAGCCTTGAAGACAGATTCAATTCGAGGCTAAACAAATCTAAATTTATTTTCGAGACGTTCCAGATATTCATGAATATTTTTTCACGTTTTTACCACGTTATTCTAAGAATGGACGCAGAGCGAGTGCCGGAATTTTTGTCTACAAATATGCATAGAAGTGTGACGTCGTCGTTTTGTGCACCTCCTCGTTATCGGGGCAGCGTTTCCTTGAAGGATGCGCAGACGTTGTGCTGCTAAAAAAATGACAAAGCGCTTGAAAGGCGCACGTCACTTCTTTGAAGCATCAGTATGAAAGGCAGTTCATAAAGGTGCGTCTTAGAATTTGTTTGATACAATAAAATAAAAGAATGTTTTATTTCTTATTATGTGCAGATTGATACAAAGCCGAAAAAAGCTGCAGAAAAAACATTTCTTCGTCAAAAAGGAAAAGCAATTATAAAATGAGCGGCAACAAAATATTGATCTTGGCACGCAGAAACAAAACCGGATCTGACAACAGTGCGTAGACATACAGAGCATAAATATTTAATTCTACGTACTATTCAATAGGCACACATTACAAATTCATATCAAAATTACAAACCGGAAAAACGGAAACAAGCAAAAAAGGAAGGAAATAAGACGTAATTCTGAGTTGAGCACGGAGTCACACATTGCCATAGATTCACACTCTTAAAACAATTATCAATAATCTTTCATTTTTATGTTAGTAGTTCGATGTTTGTAGAGTTTAGATAATTAGGTAGGTAGGCATGTGGGATGTCATCTGCACCCCATAGCTTCTTACAAAACTGGGTGATTTTCAGTTATCTATACTATTAGTAGCGTACGCTAGCAATTTTGTCGTAAGAGTCGTCAGTTAAACAAGATTACGGTAATTATATTTGTTTTACTTTGGACTTATAATATAAAGCCTTTTGTAGAAAATTATATACATGTATCGCAGTAAAACTTCTAGAAATAGGATGACTAAGTGAAGTATGACACTTCAAATCTATTATGCAATATTGTTTTGTAGAAAACTAGTGCCTTGTTCAGATTTATTTTAGTGGTCTTCCCCAGACTAGGTGACGAGAGCGTATGTGGGGAAAATCATCAACAAACTGGGTGAAAAGCAAATCTGCAGATAGTGTTTGATATTTATAAAATTTATGAGCACTGACATTTTCCTTGACCACGTTACTGGATAAGAGAATAATGTACAGGATGTATACATTAATACCCAGACGATACTAATAATACGGGTGAATTTTGATACAACCTGTGCAAAATGCACGTATAATGAGTTTTCAGAAGGCCGTAAGTTTATTTAACATATTTGAAGCCCTTGGAAATACACCTTTTTATCCTAAAAATTTTCTTATTTTTATAGAAAAAGGACTCAGTGGAAGTTCGCCCTCCGCCTCCTGTCATCAAGATTCCGCCACCGCCTCCCCCACCAAAGGTAAGAATTTGCTCGCCGTCTCTTAGTCGATTGACAGTAAATTGTCCGTAAACTTTGTAGTCTAAATGTTCTTTGAAATCTTTCTCAGTAAAGTTTCGTGAACCCTACATTGCCACCGATCAGTCGCATCGTTTCGAACAAAAGAATGTGTCTGAGAGGAAAGTTGGTAATGATTGTATCGAGAATGAGTGGATATTTCTAAGAGGTCATTCGGTGGCTGATTTGCATGTAACGAAGAGTCCAATCGGATGCATTGTAAACAAAGTGCATCTCCGGGAGAGGAGTTTTTGTTTATTATGGGTATATAAGGAGCAGGAGAAATTAAACGATTTAGCTGAGCTTGAGACGCCTTTCCTGTTCTTACTCGCCTGCACAATCCCTGTCTTTTCCTGTAACTGCTTCGCAGAAAGGTGAGTGTACATCGAACGTTTTTGTAAAGGCATCAGAGGACTGACTATTTTGTTTAACAATTTGCATATGTTTCTATATATTGTGGAAACCTGTGTTGCATATTGGTTCCTCGCGTTATACCCGAAAGAACACAAACAACATTTTAAAAAGAACAGCTCCCTGCACTTTGTCAAACGCCGACTTAGGATAGAGTCGCCGTTTGCGACTCTATCCTACGTCATTCCTAGCATGAGCTCAGGTATTATAGGCGATGTGAATGACGCAGTTGGAGCAAGGAGCGTTCTGACACGCGACGCAAATGCGTAGCCTTACTAGGATGCCAAGCCGCAGCAGGAGACAGCCGAAATACTTAGATTATGGACAACACTGCAACAGGGGCCAATACTGAAATTCCGAATTGACAACTTTCGAACCGACGACTTCGGAACCAACGATTTCCGATTGCGAACCGTTGATTCCTAGATCGACGAATCCTGAACCGACGACTCCTGTACCAACCACATCCCGAATCGACGACTTAAGAGCAAACGTCTCCCGAATCAACCGCTACCTTCGAATCCAGACCTCTGTCAACTTCTTTCTTTTCTCGGCGCACAAGGTTTGCTGCGTATTGGAGGACGCCTGCAACAACTAAATGTCCCCCAGAAGTCGAAGCACACGTTTCAGTTACCCACCAGACACGCATTAAACAGAACCATTACTGTTGCCAGCACACGTCAGACTTCTTCATGACGGAATTCACGGTAGAATGGCTAAGTTACAGGAACGATTTCGGATCCTGAGAGGACTCGAAACCGTCAAGAGGGTCTCGCATTCTTCTCTATCATATAGGCGGCGAAGGCTTCCGCCTGAAACTGCTCCAATGGCTCCCCCTCCGCGTGACCCAATCACAAAAACATGTACATTCAGCGTGGTTGGGATCGAATTTTGCGGGCATCGCACATTCGTAACACTTCTCCGGCTCATGCTATTCCATACATTGCTGTTCTTTTATGTGCAGCCGCAAGGGCCTTACATCTCTAACTTCTCGCACCACCTCTCAATCCTTCTTGATGGTTTTTCGACGCTTCGTTTCTCGCCGCGGGGTGGCATTTAAAGTCTACTCAGAAAACTCCTGAACGTTCCATCACTACATATTAATTCTAGGCGTTCCCATCACTCCCAATGTTCAAAGCTACGTGACTGGACTTTGAATTCAATGACGTTTCATTGATGAGAGAGTGCCTTGGTGGAGAGGTCAGTGGCAGAGAGTCATCCGCACTCTAAAGGATTCCTTGAGACGATGTCTGGGTCGCAGCAGTAGGTCGTTTGAGGAGCTTGTGGGGATTCTTGTGATTTCCATTCACCGATGGCTGCGATAACGGTCGCGGGACAAGACAGCGGAGGGTCCCCTGTCTTGGAGGCTCCTCCCCTCACTCCTTATCGGGGGGACCTCTTTTCGTTCCCCCGCTCGGATGCGAAACACTGCTGACAGGCCAGGATGTTTCGCCTCTTGTTTTCTCGCTTTCGGGAAATGGACTCGTCCGGTGACCGCGAAAGGTAAAGGGTGTGTATCGGCGACTTCTCCGATGCTTCCCCGATCTTGGCTCTCCGGAACCCCGCGTCTGGCACGTAACAACCTTTTCTTACCATTTGCCGACGCGGGCGGAATTTTGGATGGGGACATTGTAGTTCTCGTGTTAACTTACATTTTTAATCTTTCTCTGGAGTCTTGTGTGTTTCCCAGAAGAATGCAAGTAGCGAAGGTGTCTGTACTGCATAAAGAAGGTGATAAAAATGACTTAGGCAACTATAGACCTATTTCTATATTGCCCGTATTTTCGAAGGTTTTGGAAAAGCTACTCTATCACCGTTTAGTAGATTTCTCGAATAAATGTGACCTCATAACTTCCTGGCAATTTGGTTTCAGAAAAAACTGTTCAACAGAGACAGCTTTACTTAATCAAAAAGAATTTATTTTAGAAAATTTTGAAAGTAAAAAATTAGTTTTAGGAGTGTTCCTAGATTTCACAAAAGCCTTTGACTGTCTTAGTCACGAAGTATTATTCAAAAAGCTTGAAATTTATGGCATTCGTGGACATGCCCTACAGCTTTTAAAATCGTACTTGCGACATCGTCAGCAATATGTTAACATAAACGGTCATTCTTCCACTGTAAGATCTATTACGTCAGGCGTTCCACAAGGAAGCATATTGGGACCATTTCTTTTTAATTTATACATTAATGATATAATCAACGTAGATACTAAGGCGAAATTTCTAATTTATGCTGATGACACAACCATTTTTTTTCTGGCGAAACCTGTGACGAATTAATTGATATGGCGAACTTTACTCTATTAAATATAAAAGGCTGGGGGGATAGCAACTCACTGAAAATTAATATTAATAAGACTAAAGCCGTCATATTTCGACCAAAAAATAAGTCTCTGGTTATATCGAAGGTTCTCCGCTTTGACTCGTCTCCCATCGAAATCGTTAGTTGTTTCAAAACACTCGGAGTGTTTTTTAGTGAGACAATGAGCTGGGATAATCATATAAACTATATTGTTCCAAAGCTTGCTCGGGTAGTTGGAATCGTAAGTCGCTACCGATCTGTTTTACCAACGAACGTTAAATTGTTGCTCTATAAATCACTATTTTATTCCCATTTAACATATTGTCTTCTAGTTTGGGGCACATCCACAATGACTAATATAGAAAAACTGTTTTTGCTCCAGAAAAAAATATTGAGAGGCATATGTAATGTGCCATATATTACTTTCATTCTGCCGATTTATTTAAGACATGTAAAATAATTAACATTTTTAAATTATATCAGTACAGACTCGCTACAAGTTTTAAAAGTGAAAAGAAAAGGGGATTGTGTTTTCTGGAAAGACTTGCGTCGTTAAGGGAAACTTGCCCACATTATTCCACCCGCAACGCAGAGAAATGGAGGATGGTCACGCAACGAACAAATTATGGCTATCAAATGTTAAATTTCACACTTCCACATTTGCTAAATAGTTTTAGCATTGATGATATTGACTTTGATAGTTTAACCTTCCAAGACCTGCGCTTATATTTTTGTACGTGATCATTCTATGTTTTGTACTTCGGTGAACCTTGGTTTGTAGAAATGTCAACCGGAGATGTGCAACGGTTTCACTATATACTTTGCCTTTTTTGTATTTATTTTTCCGCCTGCTTGCTGCTGACGAATGTAAGGGGTCCGAGGACCAGTCAAGCTGCCTACTGCAGCTTTTTTCCTTTGGGCCCCCCATCATTTGATGGAAATAAAGTTATTATTATTATTATTATTCTTTTAGAAGAGTGTTCTAATAAATGCTCATAGACTCTTTCCTTACTCTGGTACGTGTGTCTTCTCTTCCGCTATATTCGAGAGAAGGAGACAAGGTAGTCGATCATTGGCCCCGACGGAGGTAATGTATACCGAACCGACCCGCGGTAATGTAGCCCTAAACGCCGTCTACAATCCCGCGGAGATGTGGGAAACGCGCTACTAGGTTTGACGTCTCCTTTGAGATCGCCGCCGCTGTTAAGATAACCCTTTGGTTTCTCTACCGGTACCTCTGTTGATAGCGAAATCCCACAAGCTGAGCACTGCACTTGTTGAAGTTGAAGCCGTTTGTAACTCTAGCCCACTCATTTACCTCAGCTCTCGACCGGAAGATCTGCACGCACTGAGGCCGTCACACTTCCTTTTGGAAAAACGTAGGATCAGTCTGGGGGGGGGGGGGGGGGGGGCACTCGAAGCAGGGTCAACATCGCCGACATTAGCACCTGCTGATCTTCGTCGCCGTGCTCCGGTTTGGAAGCGGACAATGAATCAACTTTAGAAACGGTGGAAAAGGAACTATATGTTGCAGTTGCCCTCTGCCCATCTCAGCACCAGAGAAACACCCCCTCAACTCCAAGTCGGCGACGGGGTAATCGCAGAGGGCGGCAATACACTTTTTTCTCCTGTTGAAACTTGGACGAGTGACGTAAATGTTTCTCGGCAGGGATGGTGTAACTCGAGCATGCGCGCTTCGCCTCTCCAACGGGTCGCAATACGTCGTCCGGTCCAACGTCTCTATTTGCTTGAGACGGGGTTATCGTCTTCAACGACGCCGGGGGGAGGATGTTGTTGAGAAAAGATGACGAGAGCCAGCCTGGAGCAAGAACTCACTTGCACGAACACGCCCGCGAAATTCTCGTTTTTGAATAAATGGAAGCAGGAGGTACGGAGCGGTCTTATTATCCAGTTTTTCGCAAAAGATCCCTCCGCGCCCCGTAAAGACTGACTAAAAAGTAAAACTCACGCAAATGTTTCTGTTAATTCCTAAGTGTTGGTTTAGAAGAAATTTAGATTAAGTCACTGAACTAAATTCATATTGATGAGAAACACTTTATGTCACGGTGAACAAAAATAATAAACTGTACATTACTTGTTGTAATAGCCCTTTCAAATATTTATTACGAGCATCATTTTTACAAACGCCAAGGCTCGATAATTAACTTGTAAATTGTAGCTAATGTATAATTATTGCTACTCTAACCATGTAACATTTATACCTAATTCCACAAGGTGTTTTTAGTGTCAAA